AAAAGATTTCATACCGATAATGGATAGCCTAATTATTATTAATGACGAATATTATTATTATTAATGACGGGTATTATTATTATTAGTGGCGGTATTATTGTTAATAATGACGGGTATTATTATTAATGACGGGTATTATTAATAATGACGGGTATTATTATTATTAATGACGAATATTATTATTATTAATGACGGGTATTATTATTAATGACGGGTATTATTATTAATGACGGGTATTATTATTAATGACGGGTATTATTATTATTAATGACGGGTATTATTATTATTAATGACGGGTATTATTATTATTAATGACGCGGGTATTATTAATAATGACGGGTATTATTATTAATGACGGGTATTATTAATAATGACGGGTATTATTATCAATGACGGGTATTATTATTATAAGTAACAGTATCATTATTATTAATAATGACGGGTATTATTATTAATGACGGGTATTATTATTAATGACGGGTATTATTATTAATGACGGGTATAACCAATGAATACGGAATAATTTTTTTTTTTTTTTTTTTTGGTCGAGGGCGCTCACTCTACCTCCCCGGATTAGCAAGGAGGCTACGTCCGCGTTGTGGCTAACGTCTGATGGAGCTCCTTTGGAGCGGAATAATGACGGGTATTATTATTAATGACGGGTATTATTATTAGTGTCGGGACGGATATTCTTATTAGTGACGGGTATAACCAATGAATACGGAATAATGACGGAAATTTTTAATAATGACGGGTATTATTATTAGTGTCGGGTATTATAATTATTAGTGCTGGGTATTATTATTATTATTAGTGACGGGTATTATTATTATAAAAGGTCTCAATAAGAGGTCTCGACTGCCTAGGCGTCAAACCTTGGCAGTCGGTAGTTTTCCTCTGGCCCGGGATCAGCTGACCCTAGGGACCAGAGGGTAAAGGTGTAGAGACTATGTGTATCTACAAATCTTTCGAGGTTGTTTTTACAAGAGACAGGGCTTGCTACGCAAGGGAAGAAAACCGGGAGAAACAATCACAAATTATACAAATAAATATTATAAAACCTAGCAAAAAGAAATTAAAACAATCCTACACTACTACAAATGTTTATTACCTACTACAATGTAATACACGATAAATAAATGCTGTATAATCAAGAAACAGGGCTTGCAGGGCAAGGGACGGAACACAGGGACTGGCTACAGAGTGTATAAAACAGTGATTCAGCAAGTATCCATTGGGTATTGCTGAATCTGACCCACAAAATACTAGGCTATCCATTATCGGTATGAAATCTTTTATCTAGATAAACAGATAAAGATTTAGGTTTTATCTAGATAAAACCGATAAAACCGATAATTTTTCTGCTGAAGGCCAAAGCCAAAATATTTTCAAAATTTCGCAAAAACTAATTGTCGACTTTTATTACTGTTTACCAGTAATCTTGCTAAAGTACCACTTCCTTTCTTTTGAAAATATAAGAGCATCAGTTTTCTTCTCCGGGGAGCAGAAGTGCACCAGTTTTCTTCAAAATAGTAGACCAACGGGTTTCTTCTCCTAAGAACAGTAGTGTACTACCAGTTCTCTTCAAAACAGTAGACCAAGGGTTTCCTTCTCCTGAGAACAGTAGTGCACCTGTTCTCTTCAAAACAGTAAACTAGTGATCACCGGTTTTCTTCTCCTGAGAACAGTAACGCACTAGTTCTCTTCAAAACAGTAGACCACCGGTTTTCTTCTCCTGAGAACAGTAACGCACTAGTTCTCTTCAAAACAGTAGACCACCGGTTTTCTTCTCCTGAGAACAGTAACGCACTAGTTCTCTTCAAAACAGTGCAGTAGACCACCGGTTTTCTTCTCCTGAGAACAGTAGTGCACTAGTTTTCTTCAAAACAGTAGACCAAGGGTTTCCTTCTCCTGAGAACAGTAGTGCACTTGTTCTCTTCAAAACAGTAGACTGAGAAACAGTAAAGCATTTAAAGAGATTCAGTGAACCATTTTCTTATCCTGTTGATAACTTGGAGCAACAGATTCCTTCTCCTGAAGACAATGTTTCACGCCCAGAACACTTACGGAATTCAATTGAGTGCCCTGCAGGTATTTTTGACTCTTGTTAACAGTAACATGCTCGTGCCCGTCTCCAAAATGGTTGTAAGATAAAATGCCAGCATCTTCCTCAACAGAACAATGTCAATAACCTTCTCTGGATTTCAACAGTTCATATAGTTCTACTTCTACAGTTCCAGAGGTAAACAAATGTAAATAAACCTCTTAAGCTCACGTTTAAGTAAACTACCTCTTCTATCATACTAGAAGACGTTTGGGACTGTTTCTTGGATTACTTGGGAAGGCAGAAACACTAATATTTCTTTACAATTTTACGGTATTGTGGCAGTATTTTCGGTAATATCTAGTGAATTTTTATACCGATAAAAATATGTTTTATCTAGATAAACAGATAACTTTTTTTAACGGATTATCGGAGATAATTATCGGTTACAATTATCGGAGTGGATAGCCTACAAAATACCACAATCAATACAAGAATATACAATATTTAAACAAACATCATGTTTATACAAGAATCAGGTCATGCAGAGCAAGAGAAGAAGAATAAGAGAAAAACTCCAATACATGTATACCCCTTAGTCCAGTAAATAACAATAATTACTTGTACACAAAACTGTATTTAATATAAAATACATAACAAATACACAGTCTACCCAATATACGGGTTAAAAATTGTATAAACAAGAGACAGGGCTTGCATAGCAAGGGAAGATATATAAGAGGACCAGGTAAAAAGTGTTTATTACAGTATCCAGTGAAGAATAAACTAAATATAGAGTATCTACAGTGTATTATACTCTCAGTAATATCATATGTCTAAGACCATCCTGAGAATTCTGGCTGATCCAAGCAGAGCTGTCTTCTGGAGATTAGAGATGCTCAGATTGCAGTGGACTGCGTCGAGGTATTTACGAAAGTTAATGGTGATAGTTCCTAATGCGCCAATCACCACAGGGACGATTGTGACCTTTCGTAAATTCCAGTTCTTCTTAATTTCTCTTTATTATTATTATTAATAATGACATTATTAATAATGACGGGTATTATTATTAATGACGGGTATTATTATTAGTGTCGGGTATTATAATTATTAGTGCTGGGTATTATTATTATTATTAGTGACGGGTATTATTATTATTATTTTTTATTAGTGACGGGTATTATTATTAATGACGGGTATTGTTATTATTAATGACGGTATTAAACATTTCAGCACTAATAATTATAATACCCGACACTAATAATAATACCCGTCATTAATAATAATACCCGTCATTATTAATAATGTCATTATTAATAATAATAATAATACCCGTCACTAATAATAATAATAATACCCAGCACTAATAATTATAATACCCGACACTAATAATAATACCCGTCATTAATAATAATACCCGTCATTATTAAAAATTTCCGTCATTATTCCGTATTCATTGGTTATACCCGTCACTAATAAGAATATCCGTCCCGACACTAATAATAATACCCGTCATTAATAATAATACCCGTCATTATTAATAATGTCCGTCATTATTAATAATAATGATACTGTTACTTATAATAATAATACCCGTCATTGATAATAATACCCGTTATTATTAATAATACCCGTCATTAATAATAATACCCGTCATTATTAATAATACCCGTCATTAATAATAATAATACCCGTCATTAATAATAATACCCGTCATTAATAATAATACCCGTCATTAATAATAATACCCGTCATTAATAATAATAATATTCGTCATTAATAATAATAATACCCGTCATTATTAATAATACCCGTCATTAATAATAATACCCGTCATTATTAACAATAATACCGCCACTAATAATAATAATACCCGTCATTAATAATAATACCCGTCATTAATAATAATACCCGTCATTATTAATAATAATGATACTGTTACTTATAATAATAATACCCGTCATTGATAATAATACCCGTTATTATTAATAATACCCGTCATTAATAATAATACCCGTCATTATTAATAATACCCGTCATTAATAATAATAATACCCGTCATTAATAATAATACCCGTCATTAATAATAATACCCGTCATTAATAATAATACCCGTCATTAATAATAATAATATTCGTCATTAATAATAATAATACCCGTCATTATTAATAATACCCGTCATTAATAATAATACCCGTCATTATTAACAATAATACCGCCACTAATAATAATAATACCCGTCATTAATAATAATAATATTCGTCATTAATAATAATAATACATTTTCACGTGGGACTACGTAGCAACATATAATGTCTGATATTTTAGAGGTACCCTGATCATGTGGGGTACGATAATTGTTCAGGTGATCACTTGAAAACATTATGATCTAATAACACCGGGGTGATCTATACAAATTGTGATGTTAACAAATTTTTGAGTCACATTGATCCAATGCAGCTTCCACGTGGAGCGTAATATTACACCAATTATAAGGGTTAAAAATATTAATATGAGTCACTCGAGCGATCTATAGGATAACGGATTGTGTGCTTGTGACACATTATAACTTCACTTTGACCCACTCTAATCTGGTAAGATCGTTACATGATAAGATCACAAATGTACCGTGAGCAATGAACATGACGTAATAATCAAGTTACATCCAGTATAGTTTCCACATGGAACATGATATATCACACTAGTTACAAGGCCGCCGCCGGTAACATTACGTAATATGCTTACTTTCATTATGTGTGCCCCACTTTTTCCCAAAATGGCTATTGAAAAATGCATCATATACTACTATCGGCTAAGCACTTTGCTAACACTTCAGCGCATAACTTCCATTACATGTAGATGAAATTTTTACCACTACAGGCAATCATCATTCATCAACAATGATCAATTATCTACAATTTCAATAATGATAGACTTAAATACATTTTTCCCTCAGGTTGAGAGTAACGACTCAAAGCTGGAGGATTCCCGGGTGGAAGGAGAAACTGAAGAATCTGAGAAAGAAGAATTAGCAATTGATGACTCCTTCTCCAAATCATCAGGTTTTTCTTGTTGAACTATTTGTAGCATTAAAATGTTACTTTGTTGGGAGTATAGTTCAATTTGAGTGTGCGAGTTTTACGTGAATAAGAGATGTGTGCTCCCTTTTATCAGTGAAACTATTTAATTTGATTTTAGGAAAATTAACAAATTATGCAAACTACGTATTAAGTGATATGACAAACCTGCGCCACTAGTCCCCTCGTGCATATTCTGAAGCACTCATGGTGTTACACCTGGTGTTACACATGGTGTTACACGTGGTGTTACACGTGGTGTTACACGTGGTGTTACACCTGGTGTTACACCTGGTGTTACACATGGTGTTACACCTGGTGTTACACCTGGTGTTACACATGGTGTTACACATGGTGTCTCCTTAATATCCTCGTTATAAAGTACACCCTGGAAATTTAATGCAGGTAAGATGGGAAAATATTGATAAAAACGAAGCTATTTATTCTTTCAAGAGTTATTCAAATTTTGATATAAGACGTGAAATCCCTTACTTGATCCATGGTTTGGTTCAAAGCAGAGCAGCTCTACATGAAGCTTCCCCCGCACTCCTTCAAGTACATCATTTTTGTAGAATCCAACACTTCTCTCCCCTTTATGCTGAATTATGTCAAACATCGTTAGCTGTCATAGACTGAAAAATATCAATTTGCGTCCGCTTGAAGATAGCTGTTGGTCGATGATGATCTCGGCCGTACCTATGAATGCAGTGTACTTTTCTAACTGTATTGTTTTAACTCCAGGCCAGAAACCAGTGATAGTAGAAGGAAAACGACGGAGGACTGCTGTACAAACTTTCACCAGTGCAGCTCCTGCGAAAGAGAAAAAGGGCTTGGATTTTGAAGTGGGACGTGGTACTCTACTTGGAGAAATTGAGATAGGTTTGGCAGCTTTCTTTCTAACTTCTTGAGGAATAAATCAGTGGGGTTTCTGAGTTTAGAAAGGAAGTAATACGCTTATTTATTTAAACGATTTATATAGCAATTATTTATAGATTTATCGATGAATTTCTAGGAACATTTAATGGCTACCGGCTACTTGTTATCTAGTTCAAAATATATCTCTATACTTGCTGGATAATATCTCATAATTCATTTAAATAAGAGATTTCTTGATTATAAATGTTTATAGTTACGGAGTACATGAGTAAGACACATTCGGATAGCTACATCTCAATGCACCGGCTCATGTACAATAGTCAAGGAGTATCCCTACAACGCAAAGGAAATGTCCGCAGGTTCAACGGGTTCAATTTCGACGAGAATTCCAAATTGTACTCAAGCAAACTAACCTCAATCAAGTTAGTGTTTGTTATTTATCTTTGAGTTCATTGTATAATAATAGTTTAAGATTGTTTCGTCAAATTAACGATATCCTGCCCTCAGAAATTTCCCTCTCGCTAAATCATTTGCCTGGCCAATTTTTTAAACTTGCAAAATTTTTCGGGAAAATTATATCTTCTTTTTTTAAACCTTCATCTTCACTTATTGCAGAAAAATGAAGTCAGTCGACAGGAAACTGTCAATGAAACTGCTGGGCCTCAATCAGAACTCAACCATGCAAGAACTCATGGACTTTCTTATGTCACCAGAAGATAAAGGCAGACATGCTCCTAGCAAAAAGAAAAGTAAGACACCCTCCAAAAGACGAAGGTCGTCCACAAAAGATGACGAGGGAAAGACGACTCCTGCCAAAAAGAAATCGGCTGCAAAATCGAAACCCAAAACGACTCCAAAAAGAAAGAAAGCTACTCCAAAGAAACGGGACACGGACGATGAGGTAGAAGGAGACGACTCCTTAAGTGAGTCAGAATCAGTTTCAGAAGACAATGATCTTGAAACAAATACTATTACTAACCCAACGAAAAAACGTAAACTCAGTGAATCTATAACGGACATTTCGAAAGATGATTCCTTCTCTGGTCCAACCGATGAAGATTTGATTGGTTCAATTAAGAAGACTGTTGAAAATATAGACTTGGAAGAAGTCTCCATGAAAGATGCCCTCAAAAAGATATATGGTTTATATCCTGGTGTGGATTTGACGGACCGAAAGTCCTTCATCAAGGATAATATCCGCAAACTTATCGGCTGAGTTATGAGTTAGCGTTGTTAACGCTTATATTTTTCTCGATGAAACGAAGTCTCGCGCAGCCTTTGAACCATTGACGTCAAAAATAATTTATTTTTAACCTTTATAATCATCGTTCCTTAATAAATATAAATGTTACAGCATACTGGGTAATCTAAATCGGGAGGACATTGTTCCCCTTAATGGTAAATTTTAATCTTTTGAAAAAAATTATCACTGTTTTACTACAACTAGCAGATTTGAGGGATTGAGACAATGATTTGATTTTGTTGTTAAATTTAATCGAAAATTGTTAATGCTTTAGCGATGAAATAATAGCGTTATTTATTCCGTGGTTGTTATTACAATTTATATATATATAGTATGTTAGCTTCAGTTTGAGCTTTAAGTTTTTTGACTGACGTCTGGTATCCGTTTTAATATTGTAAAGGTGAGATATATAAGCTAATATATTTATACATGCTCAAAGAAACTGACTTTATATGCGTTCTACTTATAATTTATAATATTAATTGTTTGAACCAAAAATTAATTACTGTTGTTTCAATTCGTATCACGTCGTGACCCCCATTTTCAGTTCACTTAGTGGAGGCGTCTTGTATCACGTTGTGACCCCCACGGTCGTTCCACTTTACCGTCCTGACGATACAGGCAACAGGGTGAGCCGCGCACTCGTGCGTGGCGGGTCATACAACGTATGACAAGAGGCATCTTGGGGCGAAAGCCACGATACAGCCGCGCGTCAGGCCTACACCTTACTGGGCCGCGCTCAGCCTGTCATTCCGCCTAATCTCTATTCGGGACATGATAGCCTGAGGTCCCCAGGTAAGCCTACACCGTGAGGCAATATAGCCTTGTATATTTGTCATACGTCGTATGACCCGCCGCGCACGAAGTGCGCGGCTCCCCCTGTATCGTCGAAGACGATACACGTGATACAATTGTATATATAGCCCTGTATTAGGTCGCCCAGGTAATCACAAATCTGAATTTCCGAGTTCATATTAGCCTTGTAGCGCAATGCGTTACTGTGCCGCGCCGCGCATTCAATGAGGCTTCTCTCGCTAGATCGGCGAAATGCGCTATTGTGCCGCGCCGAGCTCAGAGCTGCGATGAATTGACATCGTCAATTAAATATTAGCCTAGCGTGCTACATCACTCGATCTTCGAGATTTTTCTAAAAGGGCCCCAACAGTAATTGTTGGGCTTACCTGGGGACCGCAGGCTATCATGTCCATAAATATTTATAGGCGGAATGACAGGCTGAGCGCGGCCCAGTACACATGGTAACTGTTATGTTGGGCCGGCCCTTTATAAAACAAATTTCGAAGAATTCTGTTAGCAACAGTTCACAGTTGAAACCAACTTTGAACTTTGAACTTGAATCATGAATCTATGTTGTAAGTATCTCAGAACACTAATCCCGAATCACCCCCATGAAAATATGACATCGGGTTAAAATGTTCCCAATATGGCGAGATATTGGCAAAAAATTGATACATGTTTCGTATCCAATATCTTCAAAAATTCTGTCATCCTTAATTTTCGTTACTCACGATTGATCATAAATTGATTTAACTTTAAGGGATCTTCTTATCTAAGTGTATTGTGTTCAGTGTATTGTGTTCAGTAAAACATAGGCGGTATCTACTCTTGTCATTATTATGTTCTTAGACGATGCTAAGGATGTCAGTTGCTACTTGTGCGAAATGTGAGGTATGCTCTTTGTAGAATATATACAGGGGGGGTCAAACGTCGTTATACATACGTTGGACCTTATACCACCGCCGTGTTTCACATTTGAGACTTGTGGCTTTGCGGAAGACAAAGTCTGTTTACTCATTCGAGGATCCTATGGCCAAAATTTGAAAATTGGAACATTCCAGACCACTCTCATTCAATATTAAATTACTTATATTGTTCTTTCCAAAAATACTGGATGCCCCAGTTTTTCAACTTACTGTTGATCATTAATTGCTGCATCTGATCTAAAAAATGATGTGAAACAGCTTTGAAATGACAAAGTTATCAAGCATTTTGTTTATCTTGTTACCACCTTAATTGAGCTGCCTCCCATTCTTATGATTCTATTATGTCTTGTGTGGGTTGAAATAGTTATGTAACATTACTATTCAAACATTTTGTATGTGAGGGAGTCCCCTTATCTCCTTATATATTATATAGGGGAAGCTGAGGGCTGACCTCATAGCACTGTAGATCTAATTGTATGGTGCAGTGTTGAGATCTCTACTTGCTTGGTATGGTTCATTGGGCACTATAGCTAGGGCGTAGCACGTAATCTCACCCATTATGTGTATCATTCTTTAATCCATACATTGATAACTATATTGATTCAGGGATAAAAATATGACAGATGAGACACAATGTGGAAATGACTGGAAATCTACTAACTGCGTCACAGAAGATGAGGATATCGCTCCTTGTGGAGCAAATGTGACATTGAGTTCGCATCACTGTAATTCAGTCCCTACATCAAGTCTTTATGATCATAAGTCGTCAAAGAAAGTGTTCAAGTGTAGGATGTGTGATTACAGTGGACGTTGTAAATCACATGTTCTATCACACATCAATAGCCAACACATTGGCTTAAAGCCATTTAAATGCAGTTATTGCAGTTTCAGAACTGCTCACAAGCAGTCTCTAGATACACATTTGAAGCGACACACTGGTATTCGACCTTATAAGTGTCAATTCTGTCTTTGGTCAGCTACAGAGAGTGGACAACTGACCATCCATCAAAGAAAGCATACTGGAGAAAAACCTTTTCAGTGTAATGTTTGTCCCTATAAAGCTGCCTCGAAGTCAGCTATCTCCCAGCATAAAAAAATTCATGATGAGGATTCTTTATTTTTCAAATGTGTAATGTGCAACTTTGCAACACGCACACGAGCTAAACTACAAAATCATATGAAGATACATGAGTTAAAATATTGTTCAAAATGTCCATATTCTACAAGAGAGAGCTCTGAGTTCAGAAATCATACTAAGTCTCATAAACTGAAGTGTAGGTATTGTTTGAAGATGTTGAAAGACAAGACAAAACTTCGAGATCATGAGTCAACTCACACAAATGAAAGAAAGTGGAAATGTGATAAGTGTTCTTATAACAGCTCAAAGAAAATGCTATTAGATAAGCATTTGCTGAGTCATCATTCAGATAGTAATAATTCTGAGGCTGACATATTGAGATGTAATTTATGTTCCTTTATTACAAAAAGACCTGCTTCAATGGGGATTCATGCAAAGAGCCACAAGAGCCTTCAATCATTATGATAAATCTATAATGTCAAACATGAATAAAATCCTTTATCATGATATTGTGATAGCGATGTTTATGTTTGAACTGTGTCTACTGTGTACTTCTTTATTATATAAGTTATTCACTATTTTCAATTAAATTCCATTATTTGCCAATCATGTCATAATTCAGTTGTCATATTATATGCTGCTCTAATTAATTAAAACAGGACGTTCTACTTCTACAGTTCCAGAGGTAAACAAAATGTTAATAAACCTCTAAGCTCACGTTTAAGTAAAACACCTCTTCTATCATACTAGAAGTTTTGGGACTGTTTCTTGGATTACTGGGAAGCAGAAACATAATATTTCTTTACAATTTTCCGGTTTTGTGGCAGTATTTTCGGTAATTGTCTATGTGGAATTTTATTACCGTGAAAATTTGTTTTATCTAGATAAACAGATAACTTTTTTTAACGGATTATCGGCGATAATTATCGGTTACAATTATCGGAGTGGCAGCCTACAAAATACCAAATCAATACCAAGAAATATACATATTTAAACAACAATCATGTTTATACCATGGAATCAGGTCAGGCGAAGCCAAGAGTAGAAGAATAAGAGAAAATCTCCAATACCATGTATACCCTTAGTCCAGTTAAATTAACAATAATTACTTGTAACAAAACTGTATTTAATATAAAATACTAACAATTACACAGTCTACCCAATATACGGGTTACAAATTGTATAAACAAGAGACAGGGCTTGCATAGCAAGGGAAGATATATAAGAGGACAGGTTTTAAAAATGTGGATTATTACGTATCCAGGGTAACGAGGTAAGCACAATAGGAATAGTAATAGCAACAGTTAAAGAATAGCCATGGACGTCGTCTCCTCACCAGAAGCCGTATTATTGCAGTGAGGCAGCTCATGAGTAGTATGGAACTGGGAGGCGCAGTTTTAAAGAAGTTCACCACGAATTAACCATGATAACATTAGTAGTGTTGACGTCTCATTGAGGGGGTGGTAGCCCTCTTTAAATAAGCAGATCTAAAAATGGAACTATATTGTAGACTATATGTAGACGAATAACTCCGTACGACGGAGCACTGGAAATTGACAAGGCTGGATTCCATCGAATATAATGATACGTACGGGAATGTATTCGGGAGCAATATAGTAAAATGCCTCTGATTACATGAACAGGCATCAGAAAGTATTGGTACATTTATACTAGTACTGAAACCATGTACTAAAGCACTGGTACTAAGCAACCACACAGAATAAAATATTGTACTTCTCCCTTACTGTCACCAACATGTAAACAAACATTGGTCCAATGTTGGATACGAGTTAGCTACAGTTTTTATTTCCTCCACATGACTTAATGTACCAGTACTGAAAAAATGGCGGTGCCAAAGTTTAACTTCCTTCCTAACAGTCTAATAGTATTGTAAGGCATGCCAGCCGCCAGGCACTATACTATTTAGGGTTAGTTCATACTAATGGTATTGAAGCATGAGTGTAGCTTGGGCCTGGTTGGGCTAATAAACCACAACAGTGCTCTGTCGCACATATATGATGCTCTTGAGGTTGAACAATTCTGATACATGGATGATAACACTAAAAGGCTGGAAAGCAAGGAGTTTGGTGGCAAAATTATATCATCGGTTAATTTTAATTCTCATTCTGCTCTGGTAAAGAACTCGCAGAGATAAGATATCTATCATCTCGGCTAAGCACTTTGCTAACACTTTTTTTAATATTAAGTTTGAAACTTTTGGCTTTTATATCAACAAATCAACGACTATTTGAAACAGATAGGAGGTACGAACTGATTAAAACACGAATAGTATTTTATTATCAACGCCCAAAAACACAAGTGACACGGATTGCGTGGTGACCTTGAACTCTTATACACCTCTGAGAGGTTTATGAAACCCCTGTGTCACATGCAGGTCTGAGTTGCAGCTCAGCCACTCACAGACCCCAGATTTGGTGCAGCAGATCACCGTCGTTGGTAACGAGGTAAGCACAATAGGAATAGTAATAGCAACAGTTAAAGAATAGCCATGGACGTCGTCTCCTCACCAGAAGCGCTATTATTGCAGTGAGGCAGCTCATGAGTAGTATGGAACTGGGAGGCGCAGTTTTAAAGAAGTTCACCACGAATTAACCATGATAACATTAGTAGTGTTGACGTCTCATTGAGGGGGTGGTAGCCCTCTTTAAATAAGCAGATCTAAAAATGGAACTATATTGTAGA